TGCCTTTTTTGACTAGTTAAGTACTGTTCGAGGGCTTTTAATGTTACTGCATATATTACTCCTGTGCAGGATTAACTACAAAATTACCGGTGTCACGTTTCCTCATTATCACACACAGTGTTATTATTCATTCTGGTTTGGGCTTTTTTTTATTGGGGGGAGTGGGGTGGGGAGAGTTGGTTGTTTTTTACTTCTTCTTAACTTTAAATGTCTGTTTAAATCCCAGTGAAATCAAATATGTTTGTGCATAGGCTTAACTGATGTCTCAAATAAAGGAAGCATACACACATGCTTAAGAGCTTGGCTAAATTAGGAGCTTATTTTGAACTGATCACAAATGTAATATTCTCTCAGATCTTTGTCAGACAGCTCAACAAAAGACAAGTTTCATAGAAAATTTGGAGATGCCTCAGGGCAAACTGTTCTAACCCTGTTCCTATGTTTTTTTACATTATGTCTTTCATACTTAACATTGTCAATACACAGAAACATGCTGAAGGGTCTCTATGTATTTCTCTTCTATTGGAAAAATATATTTAAAAGCTAGTAGAAAAAGAGAAGGTGTTTGTAGCAGTTGCAGCCATGACAATTGGTTCTTCACATTCCTCAAACAGTGCTTCAGGTTCAATTTGTTCATAAATGTAATTCTTGTTTTAATGGCATGAAATCAACAGAAATGACATCTAGTTTCTTGTAGTAACAATGTACTAGCATTAATGATAAGGAAACCCACTATTTCTTTTGTGTAATTAATAAAACTATGCTCAGGGCAGTATTTCTATGAACTACAAATTATTCCCATTACTAACAGAGAAATGATAAGGGCAATGGAATTGGTGTCATTAAGAGAATGAATACTGTGGATCAATGCCTTATTTATTATAAGCCACAGCCTATCAGGAGTCAGCCTGCTCCAAAGGATGATGACACACTTCCAACCATTAAGAATATGTAAAGGGCTCATAAATACAGAAGTCGTTCCTGACTTACAGAAAACTGGTGGGCTCATCCCGACATATTACATATTAAAATGGCTCCATCGAGAGCAATGGTTTCATGGAAAATTCAGTCTGAATCCAGGCCTGTTCTTTTTTCTTCTTCATTAATAAATTAAATTTCACTTAGACTGAATTACAAATCCATCCAAATTCAACTTTGTACACTAATCAACTACATACTCTTCCTTTATTTTTTTGTTGCTATGATAACATCTCACTGTTTAGTGAATCAGTGCAGGACAATCAACAAAACTCTTTGCTTTCAATGAAAACTAGTTGCAGTACTGTAGGCTGTCTACATACATTCATAGTGCTAAGTAAGTGCTGTATGTAAAAACTAACTATTCTAATTAATGTATTGAAAATCCACTATTTAGTAACATTAGGACTGACACCTCATGATAGTACACCATTTTCTGTGGGCATAAGCCCATTAAGTGAGGAACATATTCTTATTGTATCTTAATGTTATGCCTGAAAATCATATATATCATGTGAAATTTTAAGGAAAAAAATTAAGTATGATCTCCTTAAAAGGTAAAAATGAGTTTCTTTTTCTGAACGAATCTGCAAAGAAGTTTTGACATTGAATCTGGGAGGGTTTTTATCCTTTCCTTGGAACAGTGTCATTTCTGTGGTTATTCTATTACTGCTAACTACCTTATACCACAGAAGAGTTCATTCATTTTTAATACAGTACTCTGGTATTTCACCCCTTAAAACTTACCAGAAATCTCACCTTGTAAAAATAATTCTACGTTCTTCTAGTAGCTATTAATGTTTGTTTCCTATATCAGTCCATATAGCGTTATCATCTCAAGACTCATTATGTGGGTACTCAACCTGCCTTCCCCTTATAAGTTATCAATTTCAAAAAATTACATGCCCTATAGTTGAAGTATTACAATCTTTCATTTTCTGCCCATTACATTGTTCCTGTCTATGCAACTGCCGCATAGTCACTGCTCTGGTCATTCTTTTCACTTTCCTGTGGGCTGGTGACTGTCACCCTTGGATTTGTGGATGTTTTGTCAAGATGGGAATCAACCTAGAGAAAAAGAACAGGCACTGTTCATTTCTTTGGATATCAAAGACTTCATTTCAATATGGTATTAGCACTTCATATTAAAATCTCCACAAGGTATTCTTAATGTGAAAATATGTTCTCCAGGAGTGATCACATTAATACTTTTATTTACTCTACATTTATATACCTTCCAAAGGAGAAAGAACTCCAATTAGAAGTTCCCCCCACAGTTCTTTCATCAAACATCCAGTTACCCACATATACATTTAAAGTGAATGCTAACTCACTTTCTCCACTTCCAGAAATAAATTCAGCTTTTCTAAAAAAAAATCAATACATCAAGCACAGAATAAATTCAAGGCCCAAGAAAATGTCCTGCTTCTCAGCTCTCTTAACTGAAAAATGTTCTTGTGTGTCATACAGGAACAGAAGAAAGGCCAGTTCCAAAGCACAAGAAACAATTCCCAGTGTAACAAGATGATTGTTTCTCAGCAGCCCATGGGCAGGGAATATGCTGCAATTTGTTCTGCTTCTGATTCTCAAGAATCCCACTCTTCCCAGATTTGGATTCTCCCCATGAAACAAAACATTTTGTTTCCCATATTCTGTTAGCTGGTCAGTTCACCTGACAGTCAGGGTAGTCCACTTTATTTTTCTGGGCTGCATTCCTCCATCTAAGCCAACAGACTTTACCATGTATCTAAATTAATAGGATATTTGCTTTTAAACTGACTAAAGCCCCTTGCTTTGAGGATCTTGTTCATCTTCACTGTATTTTCCAACTTGAAAGAAAAGGAGATGAAATTTCCACAAAGCAGTGGCAAAAGCCCTTTATGAAATGCAACTGTGTGAAAGTCAATTCATCAAAATAATGAGGCACTGTAGTTTCATGAACACAGCCTTCTGCTCTATCCTAAAAGACAAAGTAGTATGGCAATATATCTAGAAATTGCAATTTTCAAAATTCAGCATACTAAGGAAAACAGTAGAGGCAGATTCGTCAAATAGTGAGAAACATCTGCTTTCTCAGTTGGAGGGCATATAATGTAATTACTGATGTAACAGATCTATACAGATGGAAAACAACTTTTCCACAAACTGAAATTCTCATAAATGCTCTCAGGACTTTATCAGAAGTGAACTACTCAGAGACTACCTGAGAAGTGTAAGGCTGAGATGAAATGAGGAACAATAACATAAGAAAAACAGTTTGAAAGAATAAACACTCACCTGGTTCTGACTGTCAGAATCCTCTTTTGCTTCTTCTTCAGGCTGAACATAACCTTGGCAGTTCAAGTGCTCTGTTCTTTCACCATTTTCTTCATTGCTCTTGCCATTAACATGGGTAAATTCCTCTTGCTCTGCTTGGTCAACATTCTCTGTTTCTTCTGCTTCAACTCCATAATTTTCATTTAATTTCTTTTTGTCTTCTTCACTTCTTTCTTTAACAGTTTCCCCACTTTCCTCTCCATTCACTTCTGGATATTCTTCTTCCTCTCCCCTGTCATTTTCCTCTTCGACATTTTCTTCTTCATCTACAGTTTCTGCTGGTCTCTGGTGAGAGGAAAAGCAGCACCATTATGAGGCATTTTAAATCAGAATGCTCCATGCAATTCTGAAATGTGACAGACTTTTCACAATTACATCATTACTGAGGAGTAAATAGCTAATTTGAGGTTTGCTTACATGGACAGAAAATTGTGCTCCTGTACTTACACTCCATAATGAGGTCTTATTCTACGTTTAAAAAATGTGTTGATGAGATTTAAATCTATTACATGGTGTTAATCCATTTGATCACATCTGAAACAACTGGAATGAGCTAGATTGAGTTAAAACAGCAAGAGCTTACTCGGTTCCAGCTATTTCAGGTTCTCTGACTTTCTAGTGTTTACTACACAATTGTTTATAAAATCACTTCACAATTAAATATCATACATCACTAGTCCACAAACCATTCCCCAAGAAGCATTTTACCTATGGACCAGGCTATGCCATGACAATCTGTCCTGTTGTGTAGCCTGTCTTCTTTGCATGCACAGAAAAGAAGCTAGAGAGATCAGACAGACTGGTCACTTTCATAACATCATTCCCTTTCCCAAAGACCCCTATGTAGGGTGGCATGGTTGGGATTTATTTGACATTTGGCAGTAACTTCTTCCTACACAGAGTTGGACCAGCAGACAGGAGGAACAAGTCCTTGTCTCATATTGAAGAAGAGTTATCAGAAACTCACTATAGATAAAGCTGCTAGCAGCATCATTTCCTGACAGCCCAGAAGACTGATGTACATACTATCTAGATTTTGTCATTTGTCTTCCAATTTAATATTTGAAGAGTCACCTGGCTATTCACTGAACCAGTGCCCCCACTTTCCAGGATTACTTATATACTTGTGCTAAGGTATGAATGAAAATAAAGTGGAAAAAATGCCGCAGGAGTGACGATATGTCTGCCTTCCATACAGCCTCATCAGACTCCAAACCTACAGGAAGCAAGCTGAGAGTAATAGATTATCTCTTAATCAAAATTGTTTGGAATTTTACTGACATTAGCAGCTCCTTTATGCAGGCAGCTATCTGCTACAGACATGTAAGTTATGTCTTCTAAAAATTTCTTTTCCTCACTAACACTAACATTTCAAAAGAATTCTCTCATCACCTTCAGCGTATTAGTAAAAGCCAGTTCAGCAAGATCAAGAATTGATTGAAGCCTCTTGAGGAAACACCTTGCTTTTGCTTTGACATCTAAGTAGCAACATAAGATAATTTTATTATGCCAATGCACAATGCCAGACTGACACATCTTCAAAAAGGACATGTTATTGTGTTGCAATAATCCACAAAATGACAAATTACTAGAAATACTACGTGGTTTACCTGACCAGATAAATAATGGCTCCATAAGTGATTTTTGAAGTACAGTCATCTCTGTGTTTTTTATTCAAGCCCTCCTGACTCACTTTCATCTGGTAACATCAAACTGCTCTTATTACCACTAAAATAAAAATTTAACAAGCCAAGGCCTTCCAGACACCTTCAAAGAAGGCACCATCCAAAGCAAACTTGAGCCAACTTTGGTAATCTACAGCACATAAAGGTAGCAATTAATCTGTAGATTCATAAATTCTCAAACCTGCTAGTTTTAGACATGTCATCTGTGAATTTGTTTTCAGTCTGATAAGGAAATTAGCAGCTCTGTATTCTGACCAGGAGTAGGGGAGGCCAGGATAAATTAAATGTTCCAGACACCACTAGCTAAAAGTGTGTTTGGTTTTGCTTAATGACACCTGCTTGCTATGACATTACAAACACCAAAAAAAAAGAAGAAAGGCTAATACAGATTTTCTCAGTTAACTGTCATAGTCATCCAAGATATAATTTCCAGCTTTTTGTTACTGCCTGATAATGGGTACAAGCAGAAGAGAACATCTGCCCTTGTTTGCACTGCTTTAGTATGGTGTCTCATTCCAGACTGCAAAAGAAAGCATGTAAACTTAATGCCATGGTGTAAACATATGCATCTTAATGCATATACTTTAACTGTTTTCACTACTGTGGAAGCAGACTTTGGCATGGGAGCACAATGGAAGTTTGAGGAGCAGCAACTTCCTAAGGTGCTACACCAGCTAAACTCATGAGACCTTATCTGACCAAAAGTAGGTGTGGATGCAAATTTTTTAAGTTAAATCTGAGATACAGAGGAGCTGAACACAGCATTATTGAACTGTACCCAGAAACTCACTGGAAGCTCACAGGGAACTGTCATGAAATAACATTCAAATTTCAACTAATTTTACTTGACCAGTCGAGCTAAATTGCCTGAAAAATAATAGTACAAAACTAGATCAGTAAAACAAATCCCATCAGTGGAAGTATAATGTTTTTACAGCAACCTGAAAATTTCAAAATAGCTGAGCATATTACTACAATAGTTATTACTACTATATACAAAATTAAAAAGCCATGTTTTTGCCTAATAGTTGGCAAGCAAAATGCATTCTTCATGTAATCTCCTTTCAAGCTGCACTACATGAGAATGAACATTTCAAACAAGTTAAAATCAGAGTTGATGCAGATGAAAAGACCTTTCACAAGGCACTCTAAAATGCAGTCTGGTTCCCACTGCACGCAGAGTCATGGGTAGGCTTTGAAATGTGAATATGACCACAGACAAAGCATTTCAAAATGCACAGCAGACCTAAGACAGGACTGTAGGGAGGAAACTGAAGGCCAAAATCACCCACCAAATTGTACATTTGAAATGCTAGAGCTTGGACAAAAGACCCAAACCAGAGTTGACTTATAGATCCTGTACCTTTTGTGATCCATATTCTTTTGTGCTAGTTGGCTAAACTGCTGAAAGTAGATAGACTCGAGGTCTTTATGGTCCAAAGCCTGTAAATGCTGTACATGCTTAACTTCACCTACTTGAACATTTTCAGTTATATCAGTGAACCTGAAATAGTGAAGTAAAGTCTACACTAAAGTAGTTGCTGGGTCAGGGTGTAATTTAAAGTCCCCTGGAGTCAATGGGAACCTTTTCAATGAATTCAATACACTCCAGGCATTCATCCACCTACAATTGTACAAAATGCCTATTATGTATGCATCAAAGTTACCACAAACTGTGTTCTTTCAGTCACAATAAATCAGGTTGAGCATACCTTGAAAGAAAAACAGGTATGCTGATTCAGACCTACCTATCTTGCAGAAATTATCAGATTCAAGTCAGCAATGATCTTGTATACTTAAGAGAAAGCAGTGACCTTACACATCTTAGTTTTTAGCTTTTTATCAGTCACCTTTTAAATAACCAAAATATTCCCAGTAAGAACTTCCTGTATGGAATGAATTGGATGGATAGCCAAGACAGATGTGGGACTCTTCTGCTCCTCTTTGCACCCCAGAAGTCAAAAGTTCATCTTTCAGCCAATGTGTTGGCTCACAGGACATCATACAAGCACATTACATTTGGGATTCCTGTAAAAGCTCAGGGCATCTCAAATCCAGAGAAACAGCTCAGGATATATCTCCAGGCCTGAGTGACTGAGATTTATCACCTCTTTGTAACACAACTAAATGAGCACGAGCATCAAGTATTAATATCAACATGTTGATGTGAGAGCTTCCAAGAATCATAGCAGAGAACAAAAGGCACTTCAAAAATTCATATTGGAAGTAACCAGCCAGTTGTAGCCCAGTGTAACTAAACATGTATACTGTACTGAACTCCAGAATGAGGGTTCCTGCATTACTTTAGTCCTGTGTCCACATCACAAAAAACAACAGTGCAACTTGAACCTGGACTGGAGAAGCAGGTGGTGATTGCGTTCTTATTCCCTGAGGTAATTTTCACAGGCAATCATGCGAGTTCTAGGACAGAAGACTTTTTCAGTGACTGGGCTAGATTATCCTCATTCCTCCTATAGTTAGAACTTAAATTGCTGGCTGCATCTTTTAAGACAAGGTGACACTTTTGCAGTTTCCCAGTTGAAAGCACCATAGTTAAAATAACTAGTTTTCAAACCATACCTTCATGAATATAAGAGCAATTCTTTGTTTGTCATGGACTAACAATAAAAAGGCTCATTGACAAAAGACATATACGTGTATTGAAAGGCATATTCAACCAAAGCCACATAGAACAACTGAAGTTATTTTCAACTTCATGCTGGAAACACGGATTCAGCTTGCCTGCTGGAAACCTCTTGACTTACTAGCAGAGCGAATTTCATTTTGCATTCAGGAAGTACTGACGGTATTTTTAATCTCAGCAAAAGCAGAGTGTTTAAAAAAGAAAGATGTATTCTAATTACACTCATCATGCTATCATTCATTAAGAGCTACATTACCAAATGCCATCATCATTCAAAAGCAGTAAGTCAGGAAATCTTCAGACATTGAAGCATTTGGCTTCTTTTCCTCTAGGGATGCTAATGTAACCTCTGAGAAGGTTTGTACATGACTGATACTGAAAAGCGCAGTATCACAAATCATCTAAGGCAGAAATTATTTTGTACCATTAATGTAAAACGTAATTCTGCTTTATTGAAGTCATTTGGAAATGTTTACTTGGCTAATGGTCACAGCAGACAAACAATGAGGTAGACAACAAAAATCTTAATGGTCACAAATACCGGCATGAATACATCTCACAAAGGCAGCAACAGGAACACTTAGTTTTGATTGCACCAAACCTCTCCAGCACAGAGCTGCCCCTGCTCCTACTCAGTCAGGAATGTTTTGTAGCAGCACTGCACAGATTCCAACAGCGAAACATTTTGTTCCTGAACCAGAGAGGGTTGCTAAGTGACAGCAGCCCTCTTCGCTTCCACATCATTTACAAAACCCAGGCTCTTGAAAACAAGCAAATGAATAGTTAAGGGTTCATCCGTCTTACACTTCCCACATAGTTACCATATTCCCACAAAATGTGCTGTTGTTCCGGAAGGTAAAAAAACCTTTAGCCCCACAACTTTCTATGAGATGGATGATTATTTTAAATTTTTGTACAACAAATGCAGCACCTGAGTCCACAGGTTTGATTTTTCA